CTCTACATGACCCTCTACTAGTTCTGGAGAAGTATGAGTGAAGAAAATCTCAAGTTTTGTCCAGCACAAGGTGAGATCTGATATTTGATTTGAATGTCAGCTGTTAATGACCTGACAATATTTTTGGATTGATTTTGTCACCAAATTCAGGTATTTTAATGAAGCATTTAACTTGAAAGTCATAGTACCTAGCCTTGGACTAATCCCCTTAATGAACCCACAGGTTTTCTGTCTGGAGTACTTACACAAAGCATCTGTCTAGATGTTCATTATTTTTAGCAGTGTCTGCTAACAACAAGAAGTGAGGTTGAATGCTCCAGAAAGTCGGATTTAAGGGGCTTTTCTATTTTAAGGAACATATTCTTGAATTTTAGTAACTGAAAAACCGTGGTATGTAATGCTGGGTGGGTAACAACTGAAATTTAGAGATGCTGTCTGCTGAGGATGACCCATTTTTAGTGTTGTTACATGGGAATGGGGATCCACTTAAGTAAAGCCATCAGCATTCATTTTGTGAAGCATTACGGAGACATCTCTACAGGCTAGGAGTGAGCTCTTTTTGTTACTTTGTAAAGATGTGTACTCTGACTTTCTGGAGAAGATTGCACGGCTGTATTGGGAGAAGGAACAGGCTCATAATACAGAAGACTTGTGCTGTGATTTAGGTTTGTTATCTGTGAAGAATTTAGGGGTGGTGAATGTTGCCAGCAAATCTTTTCAAGTGTTTGAAAATATTTTGGTATTGATATCCCACCTGAAATCTGTTCGTTCTCAGAGGTACTGGCTTTTTGTCTTTCCTGGTGGTAGAAGAACCCTTTATTTTTGTATCAAAGATAAGAGAGCTACTTCCTGTCTCTTGTGGTTGGTACTAGTAATTTGTGGTGTAATCTTTCTTTGGCTTCATTTGCAGTAAAAAGTCAGTGCTGACTGTAAGAAGAGAGCGTAGTGCTGGGCAAGCCTCTTTTTGAGACACCAAAGAGGTGATAGATGAAGGGATGGTCGTGCTTCTTTCCAGCGAAGAAATGTCTTGACAAACCACTGCTGTTACTGGCTGGCACGTAGGCTTGATGGGCTGGCTTTTGTGGATTGCAAAATCTCTGAAGATCAAGTGTTTTACCTCAGATAAATTCCATAGGATGTTTAGGATTTTGCAAGCCTGCTGTTTAGATGGGTTTCCTCTGTCCAGTACTGAAGGACTGCTGTACTCAATCAAATAGTGAATATATGTGCTGTAATCCAGCAACTGAAATGGAATAAAAGACACCAGGTACTCCACACAGGCTGGATGTTTTTATTTTGTCTGCCTGTGCTATGAAGAAAAACTCCAAGAGCTTGAACTTGTTTGTTCTTTGGAAGGAATTGATGGCAAAGGACACACTGGGTGCTGTGGTTAAGTCTGACTGTCAGAGTGGCTCTCAAGAAGATGCAGAGTGGGAAATTGTCCCTTGAGGACTTGTCAAAGGGCAGATTGCTCTCTGCACTCCAAGTACAGTGTTTATCCCAACTAATTTTGCACTTCTGAATGCTGTGGAGACTTAGAGTTCAGACTAGACAACAGCAAGTGAATGTTTAATTAAAGACCACCTGGAAAACATGAGTTGCCGTGTATTTATGCTGCTCCTGTTCTGTGTCTGAATTTAAGACTGGGATATGAAACAAGTCTAGTTTAAAGATAAGGAACTTCTGAGTTGTCTTGATCAATCTCATGAAAGCTGCTTAGGATGTGCTACTGAGAGCGCATCCATAATTTTAAGTAACTGATTGTATGTCTCTTACAGAAAAGCCCCCATCCCACTGTAGGAGTGCTTATGATCAAGGGGAACCTAACCACTAATTGATGTGTGGTTCTGCTCTTTGAAGACTTCAGAACCTGTCTGTGTTTTCCAAATGTGTGTTACAGTAGTTTCTAAGACTGAGTTTCATGCTTTTAAGATTGAATACATGCACAAATTTAACAAGGCAAACCAGTACTGAAGTTATAAAGAACTTCCTTTCTTGTGTGTATGCATAGGTATGGTAATGCAGTTGCTTGAATTCAAACTGTAACGGTAAGCTTTGGGTCTCCATATATGAAAACATGTTTTAAAAACCCTCCCCACATCCCAGAAAGCAGACTTCAAAATAAAATCCTTTTTTCACCATTTTCATGATGACCTGCCATTTGGATACTTTTAATCCTCAATCTGTGTAAAAGTTATGTCTTGCATTAAATCCTTTATGTTTTTTTCCTGTGGATTTCTGAAGTAATCCTCTGTGTGCCATATAGCTTGTTCTTCAAATTGCTTGCCTATAATAACCTCATTTCTAGGAGTTTTGTTTAGAAAGCTTTAAAACATTGATTTTAAACAAAATTTAGCTGGATTTAAATTTCTTACCAGAAGTCACTGTTACACATTCTGCATGTCTAAATTCTTATCCTGTTGATACTGTGTAGTACTTTATGTAATTTAGTCAGTGAATGCGTCAAATGGGGCACTTGGCAGAGGAGTCAGTGATGTACTTGATAATGAGTAGGAATCGTTTCATAATGGCTTTTGTTGTTGTAGTTTGGTTTTTTTTTTTCCTCTTGAGGATTTCATGGGAAAGAAAGAATCCATTCAAAAGGGAATGTGTGTGTTTTCACAGTTGGGCAGTAGATAGGTCTTGCTGGACTGTTAGTGGTGTACCAAAACATATTTTCCTTTCTGTATCTTGTGTTTTCATCATAACTGTGTATCTTAAATGCAGAACACAAAGAGAGTCCAACATTTTGTTGGCTTATTCTGGGCCTCTTTCAATCTTCCACTTAAGAAAAATATGTATATCTCAAAAATCTGAATACAGAAAAAAGATCTAAAACGGCTTGACATTAACCACATCTTGATGTTTTTATTTAACCAGATAAGGATTTATACTGAAATATACGTCAAGATAGTTAATTTGATTTTATTTCACTGTGAAAGCTGAGATTTGTCCTCACGGTGTGGTAATTCTCAGCTTGCTTTCCATCCCTGTATAGATCTTATATTGTTGAGTGAGGAGTTCTTTCATCACAGGATGGACTGAGGGATCCTGTTTGTGGTGCAGCGCTGCAGATGGTGCATAGATGTGAATGATGGAAGTGGTAAACTGCAGCATGTGAATGAAAACGTGCAGCTCATGTAGGGAACTGAGCACTTCATAAGGTGCCTTTGCTGCTGAGGATAATGTGGTGTGTGAATACATTCTCAGCCACCCTGGTAGTACTAGAGGGTTTAAGATCTATATAAAGTTTCAGTCACCTTGTACTGCAAGTGCTCTATGATGTCTGTTCTGTAGTGTTTTTAATGTAGTGCTATTTGCTCTAAAGCAGATTTACTGTTTCCTGAGCCACAGGCATACTTAAATCACTGCTGGTTGAAATCACAGAATCACAGAATGGCCTGGGCTGGAAGGAGTCTTACAGAACATCTAGGTCCAATGCCATTGCCATGGGCAGAACACTGTCCACTAGGCCAGGCTGCTCAAAGCACCATCCAAGCTGGCCTTGAACACTTCCACTGGGCAATCCATTCTCAACACCCTCACAGTGAAGAATTTCTTTCCAATATGTAACCTAAACGTACCTCTTTCAATTTAAAACCATTCCCCCTTGTCTTTTCATTGTGAAAAGTCCGTCTCCAGCTCTCTTGTTGGTCTCCTCTTGGTACTCGAAGTTGCTGTAAGGTCTCCCTGGAGCCTTCCAGGATCCTGTCTTCATAGGACAAGATGCTCTAGCTCCCCTAATAATCACTGTGGCCCTCCTGGGGTCCCTTCAGCAGGTCCACATCCATCTTATGTTAACTTGGGCTAATAGGATCCTGTCTGACACAATTTAACTGGGATTGGGAAGCTGTGTTTGGAAGGCACTTTCCCCATACAGTACACCTGTCCTGGTAATGAGATCATGAATGAATTGTATGTATGTGAGCCTTTATAATGTGTCTCTTTAAAAGTTTTTTCTCTAAGCACATAAACGCCTAAGTGAGGACCAGCACCCTGACAAACTGGGAGATTTTTGTGAGCAAGTTAACTAGAGGACAACATTTTATTTGGAATGGGTGGTTACTGCACCAGTGCTTAGTGGAATCAAGGTCTGGGCACCTTAAAGCTGTGCTATTCTGAGTGAGGATGAAGGAAAGTGAGCAATGCAGGTGGTAACAGTGAGCAAGCAGGACACTGCTGTCTTGCCTTTGAGAAATCTGTGTGGTGACTTCAACAGTCTCTTGCTTTTATCGATGCTTTGTCTTTCTTATAAATCTCGGTTTATAATTGTGTCCTTGAGATGGAGGTTTTTTCCTCTTGTAAATTTTAATTGTCTAAAATATTTAGGCAAGAAAATGTGTAATAGCACCCTTTAAAAATATGGTAATAGTATCAGCCTCCTCTAAGCAAGTGATCTGTTTTAGAGATCATTTTTATACAGTTCTTGCAGAAAGGGCATTTATATTTTAATTGCAAAAAGACCTTAATTTATAAAAAATTAGTGTAAGACTAAATGCTAATCTGTAAGTCACAATGTTCTCTTGATGCTAGGAACTGTAATAGTTTCATGGAAACATCTCACTACTTAATTTTTGCAAGAGATTCTCATTGCTTTTTTTAGTCCATTTTAGTGGGTTTCTGTTCAGTAATATTTAATTTGCTGTGAAGAATCTCAGAGGGATTTAAGCCTGCTGTTTTATTGTGCATTACTGTAGGCCGTTACCTCATTTTTCCATCCCCGCAGTCTTCAAGTGGGTAACTGTTACTTTCTCTGCTGATCTTTCTATTTAAAAATTGATTATAAAATAACACAAGCTATTTTGTTACCTTGAAAAAAATTAAGCTGCATCATGAAATATTTAGCACAAAACAGTTAAAACTCTCTGGGTTCTCCTCATGCATATTTTACTAAGTTTTTTTTTTTTTTCAGCTGATCACTGAACTGCATCCCATTTTTAATGCATAGTTTTAATTATTCTCTTACTGAAAGACTGAGTTTAAAATGTCTTTGTTTGCAGAAAAAGCCACCTGAGTGTACCAGGAAGTTAGAGAGCAGCTGTCATCTCAAACACGTAAGCAGTACGGACATTCTGCACTCCTTTTTAAATGGTAAGCTGTTCAAGAGAGCTCTTACTAAACACTCCTTGTTACTTACTTTGCATTTGTGTGAATCTACAAATAGCTTTGAAGACTGTGATAAGTCCCTCAAACTGAAGACCAGTGATTAATTTTGGAAACTTGTCCAGAAGGTCTTGAAGTAGCCTGGAGAAGGAGGTTTATATTTATGTGATGTTGAAGATGTGCTTTATTAGGCCCTGAAAAAAAACATCATAAGCATTGCCCACCCAGGAGACTGGTAGCATTTAAATACTAATCTTATTATGTAGGAAATGGAAATAAATTTACTTTATTCATGGTTGTTCATGAGATACTGGATTTATAAATTTGCATCTGTTAATTACTTTTACCCTGTATAATCTGTACTTTGTTGATGTATTGTCTAAGAGATTTAAACTAAATCTGCTGAGGTTGAATGTTTGTTTGTTTGCATCAAAGTCCAACGGATAATAAAAGATTTGTATTTATTGATATTAAACTAGCTGTGTGGGGAGATATTTCCCTGCCCCCAGTCTGTCTCAGCTGCCGCACTCAACTCCAGGGACCTTTAGATGAGTACTATCTGTTGCATTCCTGGAAGTGTAGCATTTCCCTCACTGTGTGACCTAAGAGGTGAGACACACCCGGAGATGCTAGTGAAGGACTGCTGCAAAGTTCAGACAATTTTGTTACAATAAGTAAAGCTGGTAAGTGTATGCATATGTGTATTTACAGGATCTGCATCTTGTTGGCATCTGCAGTGGGAGAGAGAAAGCTTTTGAGCAGGGGAAGAAGCTGAAGAGCAGATCTTTTGTTCTTCCTTCTGAGAGGGTGAGGTTAAAAGAAGTATTACTTCTTGTAGGGAGAGACTGTTTTCTTCCTGCATTGCACACTACAGTGCTTCCTTTGGCAGAAGCCATGGCCAGCCTTGCTGCAAGGTCTCTGAGAAACAGTAAAGTATGCAGCAGTGCTTTAGGAGACTGTTGTTTAGGATACTGTTCTCCTGTGTCCTAGAGCTGCCTCTGTCTGTAACCTTGGCTATAATCCTTTGCCACGCTTTTCCCCTTAGCTGAAATTCACTTAGGCTTGTTTCAGTTTTGGTTCTGAGGATATGCTTGATGATACTCAAGATACTTTTCAGCATATATGTTCTGAAAGAGATTGCACTTAAAGTTAGGAAAAAGAATAATTCTGGAAAATACGTGCATTCACAATTTCAAGTAGGAAACTGTTTTGAGGAATGAAGGAATAAGGAAGCAATATAGTCCACACAGGAGTGGGAGGGTTAAAGTAACAGCTTTTGAAGGAGAAAGGTGAAAGAGAACCCACTCTTTCCCCCTTTACCCCTCATGCATTACCCATTAAATGGAAAGGTAAATCAGTGGTTATATACTGAAATAATTTGGAAAAAAGATCTTCTGCTAAGTGTCGAAAGCAGAGGAAGTGTGTCAGGGAAAGTGACACTAGTCTCCAGAAAAACCCCAAGGGTAAACCTAATGGGCATATCCAGGACTGCAAATATGCTTCACTACTAGATTACTAGATTAGAATATTGCTTATTATTTAATGAAACATTGAATGTTACAGCATTGTTACATTTCAGTTGCATTTTGTGCTGAATGGAAACGTCATTGCTTTTATTCATGGGAAGCTATAGAAATTAGTTATTACAGGAATAAGAACCTTGGTTTTGGAGTATTTTACTTTGGTTATATTTATTAATAAAACTACAAAAAATATATTGAGATATTTGCTGTTCATTGAGTGTAGTTTTATCAAGCATTTTCTGGTTTTTGTACAGTTTAAGCCCAACTCATATAGAGTTTAATTGAAGTGTAAAGTGTGTAACTAGTCTGGAATTTAATACAACTTATGAGTGTATAAAGACAATGCTGAGCATACTTGAAAATATCAACCTTTAAGGTTTGTTTTTTTTTTTTAAATTAAAACCTAATTCTAGTAAACAAATTCTAATTTTTGGTCATAATCAGTCACGTATCACAAACATTCTCATTGGACATAAAATTTGTAAGCTACCTTATCAATAAAATGAGAAACTTGTACTTAAAATAATGGTTGATTTCTACAGAAATGTAATATATTTTCTTTTTAAATACCCATTTAAAGAAAATTTCACTTACAAGTCATAATAAAAAACTTAATTCACCTGTTCTGCATGCATAGTAAGGCATTTGAATTTGAAATTAAGTTACTCATTTTGTCACTTGGATTATAGTTGTGCCTTGTCTTGCTTCTCTGGCTTTCCTTCTGTGTTTTGCTAACATAAATGCTCCAAAAAGTTGTCAGATTGATAAAACCAGTATATTAAATGTTGGTTAAAGTTGCTGATTTCTTAAAATGCCATCCATCCTCTGTGACTAGCATTCACTGGCTTTTCTAAACATCCATTACAAACCTACAACACTACAGTACAAAAATGCCTTCCACAAGGAAAGTTAGAGGGCATGTAGTGAGGAATGAAATACCACATGCAGGGCTTGAAAACAGCCTCTGATGCTTACTAGCCCCAGCTGTCAATTCAGTAGGCTACCAGAAGAATTATTTTGTCATCACATAAAAGCAATTCTAAGAAATAGACCTTTACATTTAGTCTGGCAGATAAAAATACTTTATACACATTTTGAAAACAGATGTTAAAATTATATTTGTGATTGCTGTGTGGATAATACTCTTCCAGTCTTTAGAAATACTTTTATTGGGAAAGTAACTTGGATATTTTTAGTCATGGTTAGACCAAATTTATGTGCCAAGGCTTTTGCCTTTACTGTCTGACTCTTCAGTTGTGTAACCTGTATCCTTTAACCTTCGAAGCTGCTAAATTATAGAATTATTTAATAACTTAAATGTTTGGTTTAAAACAAACCATTAAGAATAGTCCCCTGAAAGAAAGAAGCTTTTTGGAATGGGGCAGATTGAGTATGAAAAGTAGGTTGGGCAGGAGAGAAATAGTCACTGAAGAATAGTGGGAGGTTTTTGGACTACTTGACCAGCGAAAAGCTGCAGAGCACTAATTGCATAGCAGTGGAGCAGGACAGTGTTTTCCCAATGGTCTCATGGGGGTGGAAAAAGGTGAAAGTGGGAAAATGAGAAAGGTGAAAGTATTGCAGAATTTTGCATTACAGATGGTAAAGCCATGTCCTAGTCACCCCAGGACAAGTCAAAATGATGTGGAACCGGTTTTGGGAAAGACTAACTTAAAACATCATATAGAAGTGTTCACAGATTTTGATCTTGAGCTACATGCATTTTTGATGAGCTTTTTCTTGTTTTCCGTCTGATCTTGATGTTAGGAGAAGCTGAGTATTTGGGCTTAGCTCTTGCCTCTCTGGGGTTAAACTCTTCAGTATGCACTTATTTATATTTTGGGCTTGACTGCATGGAGTTGAATTAAATTGCAGCCTGGCAAAATGGGTTTGATGTTAGCAAATCACTTTCTGTATTAAAAGTGGTGTCTGCCTTAGCACGCTCATCACATATAGAAATATTCTTTGTTATCACTGTCTGAGACTGGGAAGTTTTCATTTCTGCAAATAAATGCAGTCATTGGCCTCTTCTCTGAACTTTTCTGTGATTGGCATCATAATAACTTCCCTCTGAATTATGCAGCTAGTGCACAGGGATCTGCTTGAAGATGAGGTTTAAATCTTCATTGCCTGTGCAATGATTAAATAAATCAGCTTCTAAATTTAACTGATGTAGTTAAATTACTTCTTGAACTGTGTGTAGATTAGTCTCTAATGGCTTGATTTTTTCCATATGTGCTTGTAGTCTATGTAGATTACATTGATTATTTTAAAGTGTAGTTAAGAGCAATGTAAGTATTGATAGGTTTGTTACACAATTTGGTGGGGTGTATGGAAGATCCATGTAATCAAAGATAACTTTAAATTACAGCCTTTGAGAGTTGGAGTCAATGTGTTTGTGCCTACAGTCATCCTGTCAGTCCATAAAAAACAAGCTGGTCTCCAAAAAACAATGGGTTTTGCTTGGTTTGATGTGGTTCTCAACCTCAGGAAGGGTGCCAACAACTGCAGCATTGCCCGCTGGAGCCTCATCACAGAGATGGCAATAGCAGTCCTTTTTCTGTTTAGCAGCCAGCTGGTCACAGCTGTAGTTAAGAAGTCTGTTCCTCTTGGATTGGGGGATCTCATCAGCTCAATGGGTTTTAAACTAATACTTGTGTTTCACGGGAGATTTTATCACTAGTATAACAGCAACAGCAAGTTGCAGGTTTAGAGCAGGTTCACTTAAGAATCCTGTATCTTTTTTGTTTCTGTTGTTTATGTAAAGAAAAACAAAAGCATCCTGAACATTAACATTACAGGATTTAATCCCCTCCCCTTGTTTTCACTTAAACATGTTTAGGTTCAAAATCTACTTACTAGTAGTGTTAAGAATGAATATCTAGGAAATCTTTTTGTTCAAGGCAATTTAATAATAGGGAATATGGAAAGTGTTTTGGTCCAGTATGCAAAATATTTTGAAACAAACTCATGGCAGAGTTCACTACTAGCCACTGTGGAACTGGAGGGGTGAAAAAAGTCAGTTGTGTTTTTCTTTCTTTAGAAATAGGTGCCCTAATTGATTTCAACCTGCTTTCTTTAAGTTTGCAGGAGGCTGCTGTGATTCTACTTTTACTTGTAAATCAAACATTAACATTAAAGCTTCCTCATTTTTTATGTACAGTTTGCGTATTTCATGGAATGGGTCAGGTTGGAAGTGACCACAGTGCGTCATCTGATCCAACCCCCCTACTCAAGCAGGGCCATCCCAGACAAATGGCACAGGATTGTGAACAGACAGTTCTTGAATGTGTCCAGTGAGGGAGACTCCACAACCTCTCTGGGCAACCTGTTCCAGTGTGTGGCCACTGCACAGTAACAAAATTCTTCCTCATGTTCAGGTGAAACTTCCTGTGCGTCGCTTTCTGACTATTGCCTCATCTTGTTTGGCACCACTGAGAAGAGCCTTCAAGGTAAAACAGACTGCCC